CACTAAGACATTACTTCACTCCTGTTAGTGTCTGGATAATATCTCATCCCCTGGAATTTTTTAATTTGTTTTTCAGACCACAGTGGTGCTCAGGGTTTATCTATGCTCAGGGATTACTCCAGGCTGTTGTTAGGGGACTATTATGGAATACCAGGGATTGAACCCAGGTTGATGCAAGGAAGGCACAAAGCTTACCCCAAAGGTTCAATTTCAGGCACCACGTCTAATCCCCTGAACACCTCCAGCCCTGAGCACAGAGCCAGGAGTAAGTCCTGAGCACTGCCAGGCATGACAAATAAATAAATAATATCTTATTTGTTTGGGGGACTGAAGAGAGACCACTGGTGAAGGTATAAGGTACTTTGCATGTGGTCAATCCATGACATCCCTGGTACTGCCAGAGATATGGACCATATATAGACCCTGGACACAGAGGCAGGAATAGCCCCTGAGCACTGCTGGGGTTGCCCCGCACTAAAAAATTTTTTGTTTATTTTGCTTTTGTTTGGGGTCCACAGGACTGGAGCGATAGCACAGCGGGTAGGGCGTTCGCCTTACAAGTGGCCAACATGGTCGACCCGAGTTCGATTCCTCCGCCCCTCTCGGAGAGCCCGGCAAGCTACCGAGAGTATTCGATATGCCAGACACAGTAACAACAAAGTCTCCAATGGAGACGTTACTGGGCCCGCTCGAGCAAATCGATGATCAACGGGAGGGCCTTTACCTTTACCTTTACCTTGGGGTCCACACCCAGCACTGTTCGGGGTTTACTCCTGGCTCTGCACTCAGGAATCATTCCTGGCAGTGCTCGGGGGGTCCTATGGGATGTCAGGGATTGAACTTGGGTCGGCTGTGTACAAAGCAAGCGCCCTCCCTACTGTGCTAGTGCTCTGGCCCCCCAATTTTGTTTTTTTGCTTTATTTCTTGTGTTGGTTTTTCCGCTTTGTGCTAGACCTCTTGGATTGCCATAATGAAGGGGCACACACTAAATGATGTCAAATAGCAGATACAGCTTCTCTGTCATATATGGAGGGGAGGAGTCCCGGTGGGGGTGCTTTTGGGATATGCTCCCTCAGTGGGCCCTAGGGGGTCCTTCCTTGCATCTTCCTAGATCCCATTACTTGCCAACCACTGCCCAGCACTCATCAGCTTCTGCCACGTAGGAACTGCACAAATCAATGTCTGACATCATCCGGGAATTTCTCCCCATGTGATTCTGTACCTGTTCCCAGTCCGCTTGGCTCTGGGGCCCGCCCAAATTCAGTCGGATCTCATCTGAACCTGGATGGCCCTACCAAGACTTTTTTTTTTCTCTTTGGGTCACACCTAGCGATGCATAGGGGTTACTCTTGGTTCATGCACTCAGGAATTACTCCTGGCCGTGCTCAGGAGACCATATGGGATGCTGGGAATCGAACCCAGGTAGGGCCGTGCTCAAGGCAAATGCCTTACCTGCTGTGCTATCACTCCAGCCCCCTGCCAAGACTTTTTTTATTTTTATTTATTTTTGGGTCACATCCGGAGAGGTACAGCGGTTACTCCTGGCTCTGTACTCAGGAATTACTCCTGGCAGTGTGCGGGGGAGACCATATGGGATGCTGAGAATCAAACCCGGGTTGGCCTCATGCAAGGTAAACGCCCTACCGGCTGTGCTACCACTCCAGCCCCCTATCAAGACTATTTCTGAGTTAGGTGAGGCCCACAGGTTCTAGGGCTATGAATTGGGGTGTGGGGGAAGAGACAGGAGTGGGGGACAGTGGGAACCACTCACCCCGGTACACTCATGGGAACATTTTTCTGATTCATGCTAATACCATGTGTGGCCAGTTCTCTCACTTGTATCACTGTGTTTGCTTTGGAGAGTAAGCTCCAATTTATTCATCACCCTGCAGCAGGTAATGGGCACTGTGTTTTCTGTTTTCTCCATTTCCGACAAGGCTGTAATTTTTATCGCCCCAGCTGTGTCTCCTAGAGTCTCTCCTAAGGCTGCATTTTCCAAACCGCCCAACAAGACCCATTAGCAGGATAGGAAATCTATTTAGTGGGTTGCAAACACGATTTTCCCTTTAACAAAATGGAATTAAACACAAGATGTAGTCAGGCGAGGAAACATTTGGTTTGGCCTGTTTTATGGTATGATGTACACATAAGTAGTTCTAAGACACGGTTCTGAAGGATGGAATGGATTAAGGGGCTTCTGTGTCAAAGGTGCTCTGGATGCTGCTGAATGACTCTCCAGCTTCACCGGTCTGTCCATCAACCCCTTTGCCTGCACTGTGTGACAGGATTAAAAGTCTGCATTTGGGACTGGGAGATAGTGCCTGGAGAGGCACTTGTCTTGCACGCACCAAACCCCAGTTCAATTCCAGCATGGCCAGGGGTCATTCCTGAGGACAGTCAGGAAGAGCCCCTGGACATCAGTGATGTGTCTCCGTCTGCATCACCTCCTAAATATATATCTACACACACACACACACACACACACACACACACACACACACACATGAATTGGGGGGTATAGATTATTTGTAGAACACTTGAATGTCTGAGCTCCTGGATTTAATTCCCAGCAGGACCAAAAAAAAAAAAAATGAAAAAGAATTTTGGCCAGGCCCTCTTTCTGGAGGACACTAGGGCTCAGACAGGGCTGGACTGCAAATAGTGAAGGCTGATATGCAGACCCTGCCCCACCCCTCTGGTATTCTCACCCCAGACTGGTCTCTGCCTAGCCTGGGGCAAACTCGGGGAGTCTAGAGTTTTAAGGTTTTATCTCCAACAATGCCACCGGACTCCACCTCAGGCTGTTTTCACTGGGCACCCCAGAGGGGGGGCCGTGAGACCCCTCCCCGCCCCAAGGGACCCAGCCCCAAGGGACCCAGCCCCGGCAGCTGACCTCCACTACCCAACAGCCACCACTCTCCAGGATGCTTTCCACATGCCCTGACCAAGTCTCACATATTGAGTAAATATATTCTTGGACCACGCAGCCATCAAAGCGTGTGTGACCCCTGGATTGACACATCATAAGACTCTCCTTACCCATTTTCCATAATTACCACACCATATTTGATGGGGTTCAGACAGAAGGCAACAAATCATAGAAGGAAATATATATATATATACATATATATATATATATATGGTAAAGGTAAAGGCCCTCCCGTTGATCGTCGATTTGCTCAAGCGGGCCCAGTAACGTCTCCATTGGAGACTTTGTTGTTACTGTGTCTGGCATATCGAATACTCTCGGTAGCTTGCCGGGCTCTCCGAGAGGGGCGGAGGAATCGAACTCGGGTCGGCCATGTTGGCCGCGTGTAAGGCGAATGCCCTACCCGCTGTGCTATCGCTCCAGCCCATATATATATATATATATATATATATATATATATATATATATATATATTTACCTCTTGGCAAGCCCAGGAAGCTATGGAGAGTATCCTGCCCACACAGCAGAGCCTAGCAAGTTCCCTGTGGTGTGGTGTATTCGATATGCCAAAAACAGTAACAATAACAGGTCTCATCCCCCTGATCCTGAAAGAGCCTCCAATACAGCAGCGTTGGGAAAGACGAGTAAGGAGAGGCTGCTAAAATCTCAGGCCTGGGATAAATGGAGACGTAACTGGCACCTGCTCGAGTAAATCGATGAACAATGGAATGACAGTGACAGTGATCCCCAAAATACTCGTGTTCCCTGAGAGCATCACAAGGAGTAATCTCTGAGTGCAGAGCCAGGAGTAATCCCTGAGCATCCCGGGTGTGCCCCCCACCTCAAGAAAAAAAAAAGAGTTCCCAAATTCTTTTGGGTTGTTTGTTTTTGTTTTGGGACCACACCTGGAGATGCTCAGACTCTGCATAACTCAGGGATGTCTCCTGTTGGTGCACGGAGGTTCCCAGGAGGGAGATGTGCAGACTGAGGAACGGAGGCGTGGAGGTACAGCAAAATCAAAGCCTTCGGAACTTTTTTTTTGTTTTTGCCTTCGGGGCGCCAGGGATCTGGCCCCTGTCTGCAGAGTCCCCGGGAGGCCGCCTGGTGCTCCCTAGAGCCACACCCACCGGGCACAGCCCAAGCCCACCGGGCACAGTCCACGCCCACCGGGCACAGTCCACGACCACTCGTGGCAGGCCACGCCCAGACGGTGCTGAAACAAACCCCTTTTCCACCGAATTTTGTTGTTTGTTTTTGTTTTTGGGCCACATCTGGCGGGGCTCAGGGCTCACTTCTGGCGGAACTCAGGGGACCCTATGTGGTACCAGGGATGGAGCTCCTGTCCAGAGTGCAAGGCAAGCGCCCTACTTTTTTTTTTTTGGCTTTTTGGGTCACACCCGGCGATGCACAGGGAATACTCCTGGCTCCGCACTCAGGAATTACTCCTGGGGGCTCATATGGGATGCCGGGAATCGAACCCTGGTTGGCCGCTTGCAGGGCAAACGCCCTCCCCGCTGTGCTATCACTCCGGTCCCTACCCCGTTTTCTTAAATGCCGCGTTCTGACTCATCCCTGGAGACCCGGGAGGCCGCCTGGAGAGCTGGGGGTGGGGGTGTGGGGAATTCCCCTCACTAGTCCCTGCACCCTCCTCCTAACTCCGGCTCCTGGGAGACGCAGAGATCACAGGCGGCCTTCCCGGTCACAGAGACTAAAAGGACACGCTCCCTGACCTTTCCTTCTAGAAAGTTCAGCTCGGTGACCTTTACTCCCACCCCCCCACCCCCTCACTCCATGCACACCTTCGGCCTCCGCCCCGGAGCGCTTCTGCCCGGCCTGAGCGTGCCGCAGGGTCGGGCAGCGAAGCCCTTTGGGCTGCACGGCGCGGGCAGGTCCTGCAGCCCCGCCCCACGTGCTACCTGCCACCCCGGAGTCCCCTCGGACCGCCGGACCCCGGGCCCGCTCACCTACCGGCCCCGCCCCGTTCGCGGGGTCCGCCCCTTCCCGCTTCACCTGGGCTCGGCCGGCGACGCCTCCCGGGCCGCACCCGTCCCTCCCCGGGTACCTGGGCCCCATGGCAGCCGCGGTGGCCCCGCGAGGTCGGCCGGGGGGCGACCCCGGCGCGCTCGATCGCGCCGTGAAGCTGCTGCAGCGCCTGGAAGCGCAGTGCGGGGACCCCCGGTTCTCCACCAATCCCCCCTCGCTGAGCAACCTGCTGCCCCGCATCGCGCAGCTGCTGCGGGACGTGGCCCGGGAGCAGCGGCGCGAGCCCCGGGACCCTGCCGAGGGCCCCGGGGGCGCCGCCGACTTCCTCTGCATCTTCCTCGCCAACCTGGAGGCCAAGGGCCGGCAGCTGGCCGCCCTGCTGCCTCCCCGGGAGCGAAAGGCCGCCAATGACCAGCTCTTCCGGGAGGGCACCTCCCTCAGGTGAGTCCCCACCCCCCACAGCAGCCCCCTCAGCCCCAGGAGTCCATCCCAGCCCCTCCGCCCTACTCGAACCAGGACTCCCCATGCCCTGCCCTCCTTCTGCACGGAAGTCTGAGTTCCAGTCCTTTCTCCTACAAAGAACCTAGCAAAGGAGTCACCCAGTGGTTTCTCCTGGAATACCTGTGCCAGCTCATTTCCTGTGCCACCCCACGGTCCCTGCCCTCTGTCCCAGTCTCTCAGACTTGGGACACAATTCTGAGAGATATAAGGTCCCTGGGGGCTTTCTGCCCGAGAAGGGTTTGGAGGCCATTCCTGGAGATGCTTAGCTCTCCAGGAGGGGCTCCCCCCTCAACTCCTCCTCCCCCCTCATGTGCACGCTGCTTCTCCACTTATAAACTCTGAGGAGCACTGCTGAGTGATGTTGTGGAGAGATCCAGGACCCAGGATGCAGGCTATATCCATGACTCTGGGCATCGCCGGGCAACCACAGGGACTTCCCCATTCATACTGAAGTGACCCACAGAGGTGAAAGTACCTATAGTTTGTTCAAAAATCCAAGGCTGGGGGCTGGGGCGATAGCATAGCAGGCAGGGCGTTTGCCTTGCATGCTGCCGACCTGGGTTCAATTCCCAGCATCCCGTATGGTCCCCCGAGCACCGCCAAGAGTAATTCCTGAGTGCATGAACCAGGAGTAACCCCTGTGTATCTCCAGGTATGACGCCCCCCCAAAAAAAAAATCCAAGGCTGGAGAGATAGTACATAGCTGACCCTATTTTAGTCCCTGGCACCCTATATGGTCCCCTGAGCACTGCCAGGGGTGATCTCTGAGTGCAGATCCAGGAATGAGGAGTGAACCTTGAGCAGGAAATGGCCTCCAAACCAAACCAAACCAACAAACATAATCCTCCTAGGGGCCAGGAAGAGAATTCAACAGGCTGGAGCTCAGGCTTTATGTGCTGGAGACCCAGGTTCGGTCCCCACCACTGCAAAAATAAACCAACTCTTGGATCAGGAAAATCGCTCAAAGGACTGGAATGCATATTTCACATATGGGCACCCCATGTTCAATCCTGACATCTGATGCCTTGAGCATCATTGTCTGTGCCCTCTCAAAAATAAATTCAGGGGACCGGAGAGAGAATACTATGGGTAGGACACTCACCTTGTATGTGGCCAACCCAGGTTTGATGCCAGCATCATATAGGGTCCCCCAATCCCCCCGCCTCTAGGATTGATCCCCAAGCAGAGAGCCAGGAATAAGCCCTAAACACCATTAGGTGTCCCCAAACCAAAAATAAATAAATAAGTGTGTCTAGAGTCCCAAATGGATTGTAACCAGAATCATAAAGAACTGTCTTCGGGGCTGGAGTGATAGCACAGCGGATAGGGCGTTTGCCTTGCACGCGGCCGACCCGGGTTTGATTCCCAGCATCCCATATGTTCCCCCTAGCACCGCGCCAGGAGTAATTCCTGAATGCAGAGCCAGGAATAACCCCTGTGCATCGCTGGGTGTGACCCAAAAAAACAAAAAGAAACAAACAAACAAAAAAAGAATTGTCTCCCTAATAAAGTTCTCTCTACCTCAGAGGAAATGTCACGACATTGGCACACTAATCGTGGAGAGGTGACCATGCCTAGACTGTGTCCTGGGGTAGGATCACAAAGCTGTGGAATCAAATTGTCTTCCGTGGTTACACAGGATAGTGGAGTTTCTCAGAGTTGGTGTGTGCAGGGGCTGCTGGGACAGTTCGTCAAGGCACTGGCCTTCCTTGCTTGCCTCCAACCTCAGTTCAATTCCCTGCACCACTTAGTACTGCCAGGAGTCATCCTGGAGCACAGAGCCCGGAGTAAGCCCCAAGTACCGCCAGATTTGGCCCCAAAGCAAAACAAACACAAGCTACAAATGGACTTTCCATTTTATAGGAACCTGTGGTCGAGGTGGGCTCAATCCCAGAATCTCATATGGTACCCTGAGTTCTGAGTGGCTCCAAAGGCCGGAAAAGGAGAAAAAAAAAAAACTCCCGTTTTCTAGTCCATCTATTACAAAAACGGTTTTCTGGTAGGGGAAGGGGCAGTGCTCAGGGCATGCTCCTGGTTCTGTGCTCAGGGTGACTCCTGGAAGTGCTCAAAGGATTATGCAGTGCCCGGGCTTATGGAGTGATAGTACAGTGTGTAGGGCTTTTGCCTTGCACGTGGTCAACCAGTATTCGATTCCCAGCATCCCATATATATGGTTCCCTGAACACTGCCAGGAGTTTAAGTTCTGAGTGCAAATTCAGGACTACACTCTGTGCATTGCCGGGTGTGACCCCAGAAAAAACAAAAACATAAAAGGATTATGCAGTGCCTAAGATCGAAGCTGGACCTCAGGTCATTTGCTCAACCCATTAAGCTATCTCTCTGACTCCCAAAGAGTCTTTTTTTTGAGGGGGGCATGCCTCACATCCAGCTGTACTCAAGGCTTACTCCTGGATCTTGCACTCAGGGATCACTCCTGGCTGGCGTTGGGGGAATCAAACCCGAATTGGCCACATGCAAGGTCAGCACCCTCCCTGCTGGACCATCGCTCTGGCCAGGGAGCACTTCTGACAGAGCTGTGGGGGTTGTATGGAGGGCCAGGGATCGAACCCGGGTTGTCCGTGTGCAAGGCCAGTGCTGCCTCATATGAAAGAGGCTTTTAGAACCAGTGAAGTGAATTTGGTTTTGGATTCGGAGCCACACGCCGTGGGGCTCAGAGTCACCCCCAGCAGTGTTTGGGAGATGGTGTGGTATCAGGGATCACACCCGGAGCGTGCACTCTGCCCTTTGGACCAAGGGGTAGCAGACAGGGCCCTGCTCTGTCCTCCTGCCCCCTCTGATATCTCATTGCTTCCTGCCGAGGCCGGGGCAGCGCGGAGACGGGCGCCCCAGGTCCAGCCAGGCCCTCAGAGTCCTTTCCGTAGGCGACAGTTGGCCAAGCTGGCGCTGATCTTCAACCACATGCACGCGGAGCTCGGCGCGCTCTTCCCGGGCGGGCAGTACTGCGGCCACTTGTACCACGTCACCAAGCCTCAGGCACACGCCTTCTGGAGGGAGTTCTGCGGAGTCCGGTGAGGACCAGCCCCTGACCCTCATCCTCCTCCCTCAGACCCTGCCTCCTCCCTCAGACCCTGAGTCCATATCCCACCTCCTCCCTCAGACTCTGGACTCCAAACCCTGCTCCTTCCATCAGACTTTGAATCCGGATCCCACCTCCTCCTTCTGACCATGGAGTTCAGACCCTGCCTCCTCCCTCAGACCCTGAGTCCAGACCCCACAAACTCCCTCAGATCCTGGACTCCAGACCCCACAAACTCCCTCAGACCCTGGACTCTAGACCCCCACCTCCTTCCTCAGACCCTGGACTCCAGACTCCACCTTTTTCCCTCAGAGCCTGGACTCCAAACTCTGCCTCCTCCCTCAGTCCTGTCATCCTAACCTTGCCTTCTCCCTCAGACCCAGGAGCCCAGCCCCCAGCCTTGGATTGGGGAATCCAGGGCCCCTCCTTCCTAGCGGCCTCAGCTGTGTGCCCTCCCCACCCCCCCAGGTGTGTGATGCCCTGGGCTGAGTTTCAGTCACTCCTGGGCACTTGCCACCCCATGGAATCAGGCCCCACGGCCCTGGCCTTGCGCTCCACCATCGACATCACCTGCAGCGGCCACGTGTCCATCTTCGAGTTCGATATCTTCAGCAGGCTCTTCCAGGTCAGGGGTCCCCGCATCTGAGGGAGGAGGGCTTGGACATGGACTCCTGGGTCTAAGGGAAGACACTCGGGAGTGGGGGGAGTGACCTGAGTCCAGGGTGGTCTGATAAGGCCCACCATCAGTTCCGCTTGCATCTGGGACCCTGGAAACTTCAAAGAGCGAACAGCTTCCTGGGCCCCCTCCTGACCCTAGTCCTGCCCCCACCCCCGTCCCTAGCCCTGGCCAACGATCCTGAGGAACTGGCAGCTCCTGGCGGTCAACCACCCGGGGTACATGGCCTTCCTTACCTACGAGGAGGTGCAGACTCGCCTCCAGGCATGCAGACACAAGCCAGGCAGGTAAGCGACCTGGAGGCCAGGCCAGGCCACGTGCAGAGGCCGGGCCAACAGGGAACCGGGAACCCCAAGGGAGGGTTTATTTATTTTTCTTTTTGGGTCACACCCAGTGATGCAGGGGTTACTCCTGGCTCATGCACTTAGGAACTTAGGAATTACTCCTGGCGGTGCTCAGGGGACCATATGGGATTCTGGGAATCGAACCCAGGTCTGCCGCGTGCAAGGCAAATGCCCTAACCGCAGGGAGGGTGTTGAGTCACCCCTGTATCCCTCTTCTTCTCCCAGGAGCTCTTGACTCTTCCTCCTACACCTGCCCTAGTGGGTAGGGTGGGCAGAGGGTCTGGCCCCCAATCGCATCTGTTAAATATATTGAACATATTCAGTCCAGAGGTAATACAGCAGGGAAGGGTATGAACCCCAGTTCAATCCCTGCCCCATTAGATTCCCTGAGCCCCGCTGGGAGTGACCCCCCCATTTAAAAAAAAAAGACTTTTTTTTTAGCATCCCATATGGTTCCCTGACCCTCGCCAGGAATGATCCCTGAGTGCAGAGTTACTCCTGGTTCGGCACTCAGGAATGCTCCTGGCAGTACATGGGGGACCATATGGGATGCCAGGGATTGAACCTAGGTCGGTCACATGCAAGGGGTGAGTCCAGCCCTCTGTACTATTGCATCCAGGACTTTTATTTTTTAAGATCAAGACTTTTTAAAATATCTTGAGGGCTGGAGCGATAGCATAGCCGGTATGGCGTTTGCCTTGCACGCAGCCAACATGGCCGACACAGGTTCGATTCCCAGCATCCCATATGGTCCCCTGAGCACCGCCAGAAGCAATTCCTGAGTGCATAGCCGGGAGTAACCCCTGAGCATCGTCAGGTGTGACCCAAAAAGCAAAAAAAAAAAAAAAAATCTTGTAGGTCTCTCAGAAGGCTAAGAATTAAATGGGACAGATTAAGGGAATAGGGTTCAAAGCTGGAGATAGGTCCTGGCTTAGTTTGCTTGTGTAAAACCTTGAGTTCATTCCTGGCACTGAAAATAAAAAAAGGTGTGTGTGTAGGGAGGGGGTATCGAGGGAGCGGAGGAGTGGTTAGGAATTCAGCTTTTTTTTTTCTTTTTGGGTCACACCTAGCGATGCTCAAGGGTTACTCCTGGCTCTGCACTCAGGAATCACTCCTGACAGTGCTTGGGGGATCATATGGGATGCTGGGAATCGAACCCGGGTCAGCCGCATGCAAGGCAAACACGTTACCTGCTGTGCTATTGCTCCAGCCCCAGGAATTCAGCTTCTTGAATCTTTGCAGGACCCTGAGCAGGAGAATGTAGTCATACACTATTCTAGTTACACTTTTTTTTAATTTTAATATTTTTAATTGAATCACACCTTGATATACAGTTACAAACTTGTTCATGATTGCATTTTAGTCATACAACGTTGCAACACCCATCCCTTCAGCAGTGTACATTTCCCACCGCCTGTGTGTCCCTCTCTCCTCCCCTCCAGTTACACTTTTAGGGAAATCTAAGGAATACGTTAACTCCTCTCACTGAGAATCCCAAGTGCAGGGGACTGGGTAGATAATAAAGAGGGTAGGGCACTTGCTTACTTTACATGGGATGACCTGGACTTGATCCCTAGCATCCCATATGGTTCCCTGACCCTCACCAGGAATGATCCTGAAGTGCAGAGTGAAGAGTAAAAAAAAAAAGCAAAACAAAAATACATAAGGTGCCTGAGAGATAGTACAGCAGTAAGGCACTTGCCTTGCACACAGCTGACCTGGGTTCCATTCACATGATTCCCCGACCACCACTAGGAGGATCCCTGAGTGCAGAGCTCTGAGCCCCATCAGCTGTGGCCCAAGCTACCCCCACAAAAGACAAAAGCCCAAGTTCAGGGTTTCAGGCATAGTTGGATCCAGGTGCCCTTAGTGCAGTGGTTTCTGTTCACCCCTTTCCTGTTTTCCTGTGTTAGCTTCCTTCTAAGCCAGGGTCCTTCTTCTTTGTTGGGGTGGGGGAGAGGTTGTTTCTAATAGCCCCCACTGCTGATAACCTCACCAAAAGCGCCCAACTGGAGCACATCCTTAAAGTCAGGACTCCTAAAAAATGTGTGTGTGGGAGATCAAGACAGAATCAGCCTATACCCGGGTCGTCAGCAGGAGGGACCCGGCAGCGGCCTGCAAGGGATCTAGCACCCCAGGAGCTAAACTTTTGGAAGCTGGGCTACAAAGAGGATGCCCTAGTGGGGAGGGGTGTTTCTCAGCAAAGTGGAGTTGGAGGTGGATGTCCCTTCGGGGACTGTCCACGCTCTCGCCCCAGCCCACCTGTCTGGTTGCAGCTACATCTTCCGGCCCAGCTGCACGCGCCTGGGGCAGTGGGCCATCGGGCACGTGAGCACCGACGGCAGCATCCTGCAGACCATCCCGACCAACAGGCCCCTGTTCCAGGTGCTTCTGGAAGGACAGAAGGACGGCTAGTGAGTGCCTCGGTGGCGGGCGGCTGGGCGGCGGGGCACCCCGCGGGCTCGGGATGGATTGACCAGTTCCACCGAGGTCCAGCAGGGGGCAGGCGGGAGTCTGAGCAGGTTGCCGGCGGGAAGAGGCGCTGGTTCGGGTCCGGCCCACCTGGCCGGCGGCGCGTGCGCAGAAGGTGGAGCGGCGCGTGGGAAACTGAGGCTGTCCTTGGGAATCGCACTCCCCGGCTTCCCTTCGCGGTGCCCGCCTGCCGTTCTAGAGTCCACGCTGTTGGAGCAGAAAGAACGGAGCTATAGACACATGTTTTCAACCTGTGACGCTCGGGTCCGCGGATGCTCGGATGAGGGTCACAGATGGGCGGAGAAAAGGCGATGGAGGCAAAGAACCTGAGCCCTGGGACAGCGAGGAGGGCATTGCCTGCAGGCGGCTGGCCTGGGTGTCATCCCCGTTATCCCCTATGCCCACTCCCCCAACCCCGCCAGGAGTGATCCCTGAGTGCAGAGCCAGGAGCCAGCCCTGAGCATCGCCGGGTGTGGGCCCAAAAATAAAATGAAAAAAAAAAAAGCAGTGGGTTCCTAGTTCCTATTTCTGCACTTTGAATCTTTTTTTTTTTTTTTGGTAAGGAGTGTTGGGCCATACCCTGTTATGCTCAGGGGACTGCACTCAGGAATTACTCCTCGTGGTGCTCAGGGATGTGTCTAGGTTGGTGGTATTCAGGAGACCAGATGGGATGCTCGGGATGGAACCCAGGTCTGCTGCATGCAGAAGGCAGGCGCCCTCCCCCACCCCCTTCTATCACTCAGGCCCATTCTGGGTCGATCTTTTTTCTTCGTTTCTTCCTCTTTTTTTTTATTTTAACTTTTTGGGTCACACCTGGCGGTGCTCAGGGAACCATATCTTTCTTTCTTCTTTCTCTCTTTCCTTTCATTCTTTCTTTCCCTTTCAGTCTTTCTCTTCCTTCTTTTCTCTTTCTTTCCTTCCCCCTTGCCTCCCTCCCACCTGAGATCTTTCTTTTATTCATTCTTTTATTCTTTCTTTTTCTTCTTCCTTTCTTTCTATTTCTCTTTCTTTTCTTTCCTCTCTCTTGCTTTCTTTCTCACACCCAGCAGTTCTCAGGAGCTACTCCCGGCTCTGTGCTTGGGATTGGGGTGGGGAATCCCTTCTACTGGTGTCTGGAGGAGTGAAACCTGGGCCACGTACACCTGAAGGAATCCCGCCCTGTGAGGCCCCCTGGATCATTAACAAGAGTTGGCATGGAGAGGACATGTGTGAGATGCCAGAGTTAGATCAACGATGATAATCTGTTTAATTCAATGACTGGCAATATATTGAGAAACAGATGGTGGATGACAAGGTAGGCGAGAGGGTATTGGTGATTATTGATAGATTTGTGACTGATAGTTTTGCTTGATGATCAGTTTCCTTAGAGATAAATGATAAATCCAGAGGCAGATAGGTGGAGGGTGATTGAGAATCTAATGCAGATAAATGGCTGATGAATGATGAGAGCTGGTGAGTGGATAGATGGGTGCCAGGTGGGTGGTAGGCGGAGGACAGGTAGATAGGTCAGGAGTGTAGGTAGGTGGGAGGTAGACAGGGCTGGAGATGGGCAGGTGGGAGGTAGACAGGAGGTAATGGCAGTCACCTCCTTTTCCTGCTTCTGTTCAGTCTCACATCCGGTGCCTCTGTGGCACTGCAAAGTTACTGCAAATGTTGAATTCGCTGAGTCTCAGCCCGAGCTCCCCTGGGAAATCAGGTCAGCTTCCTGAAAGATGGGTCATGCCACTTTTTGCCAACCCATTCCTGTCAAATGCTGGTGGCTGTGCTTCTGCACCATGCTGAGTACACGCTCCTGACAGAGCCTCCGGGAATTCACAGCCAAGGCCACCCCCAGGTCTGCCCCAGCAAAGCACATCTCACACTTGTCTTCCTTCTGCTCAGGATCAGTGAGAGCACTTGGGAAGGAGGGCTCTAAACCAGTGACCAGCACCTGGGGGGGAGGGGCAGGGAAGCATGAAAATTCACTATGTATGGACAGGAGAGATTGTAGGTCTCTGGCCTTGCATGCAGCTGACCTGGGTTTGATCCCAGGCACCCCATATGGTCCCTTGAGCATCACTAGGAGTGATCCCTGAGCACAGAACCAGGAGTAAGCCCTGATCATCACCAGCTAAGGGCCCCAAATCAACCCAACAAAGAGAGCACAGCACAGAGGAAAGTTTGCCCAAAGGACTGAGTGCAGGCTTTCTGTGCAAGAATTTCAGGTTTAGGGGCTGGAGTGATAGTACAGTGGGTTGGGCGGTTGCCTTGCACATGGCCAACCTGGGTTCAATTCTTTTTTTTCTTTTTGCTCTTTTTTTTTTTTTTTTTTGCTTTTTGGGTCACACGCATCGATGCTCAGGGGTTACTCCTTATTCTGTACTCAGGAATTACTCCTGGTAGTGCTTGGGATACTGGGGATTGAAGTCGGGTTGGCCACATGAAAGGCAAACGCCCTACCCGCTATACTATAGGTCCAGCCCCACGGGTTCGATTCTTGGCATCCCATATGCTCCCCCAAGCACTACCAGGAGTAATTTCTGAGTGCAAAGCCAGGAGTAATCCCTGAGCATCTCCAGGTGTGACCCAAAAAACAAAGAAAGGAAGAAGAATTTTGGGTTTGATCCTAGCTCTGTAAGCCCCCCAGTGCTGCTGGGTGTGGCAAAACAAAAGGGGGGAAAAATAGCACAGCAAGTGGCTGTAAAAATGTGAAGGGGCTGGAGTGACAGCACAGCGGGTAGGACGTTTGCCTTGCATGCGGCTGACACGGGTTCTATTCCCAGGATCCCATATGGTCCCCTGAGCACCGCAGGGAGTAATTCCTGAGTGCAGAGCCAAGTGTGACCCCTGTGCATAGCCAGGTGTGACCCAATAAGCATAAAAATAGCACTGTAGCACTGCACTGTCCTCCTGTTGTTCATCAATTTGCTCAAGTGAGCAACAGTAACATCTCACAACCAATTGTGAGACTTGTTACTGTTTTTGGCTATTGACTAAATCACGGGTAGCTTGCCAGGCTATGCTGTGTAGGTGAGATACTCTCGGTAGCTTGCTGGGCAATCCGAGAGGGACGGAGGAATCAAACCCTGGTCGGCCGCGTGCAAGGCAAACGTCCTACCCGCTGTGCTATCGCTCCAGCCCAAGCAAAAAATAAAAGTGTGAAAAGGGACACCACTAGCTTAAAGTCCTAACAAGGCCAGGAGCAAACTGGCCTCTGGAAACTTGGGTTTTGAGCTGCTATGCATATGTTCAAGTATTGATCTGGGTTCCAAATACATATTTGCAGTTAGGCCACTGGCAAACAAGGATGCACAAAGAATGGAGATTCCATGTGCAATTGTATGCCCAGACATAATTCTTTTTTTTTTTTTTTGCCACACCTGGCTGTGCCCAGGTTGGTGGTACTCAGGGAAGCAGATGGGATGCTGGGGCTCGAATTCCGGTTGGCTGCATGCAAGACAAGCACCTTACCCAGCCTTACCCGGCCTTACCCACTGTATTATCTCTCCGAGCCCCACATGGTTGGAGCAGGGCATTCTATAGCATGGGAAGTGCTCAGGGGCTGCTCCTGGCTCTGTGCTCAGGAGCGACCTCTGGTGGTGCTCAGGGGTCATGGCGAGTCAGAGCTGCAATAGAGACCCTGTGGGGTCTCTCTGATCCACACACTTTACTCCCCAAGGGGTGCTGAGGGAAGCTGAGGAACTGAGCTGTTTGTCCAGGCTACACAGCTCCCGAGCTGCAGAGCTGGGTTGGGACGAGGAGGCAGACAGCCAGGCTCATTCTCCTGCTAGAATGTTCCAGATCCAGGTCAGATGTGACTGGGAGATAGGCTTCTGCTTCTGGAGTTGAAACAGGTGTGATCAGCCCCGGGGGGATGCAGGGCCCTACCCAACCCCCCCCCGCCAGCCCTGGTGGGGGCTTCTCAGCACCCGATGCCTGCAGGGCCCCCTGTGTGGTCTTGGAGTGGGGGGCGTCCCCACATGAAGCCCCAGTGCTGACCCAGAGCACTTGGTGGAGATGGGGGTCCCACAGCCCCGATGTAAGGCTTTATTCCTCCGCCCCCACCCCAACACACACACACACACACACACACACACTCACACAGACACACACACCACACACTCCAGACTCAAAGACTGGGTGTGTGCAGTGCTTGGGTCTGAGTCCCCAGAAAAAGAGCCACAGGGGTGGGGGGGATATCTGCCTTGATCTACATTGGGCAGGTTGACAGAGCTACAGCCTCATGAATTCATGTCCCAAGTGCCCATTATGTGGGGGTTGAGGGGACACAGGCCCATCTGGGGGTCCTAAGGGCACACGGGCCCTCTTGAGGGGACTGAGGGGACACAGGCCCTCTGGAGGTGCCTGAGGGAACACGGGCCCTCTGGGGGGGCTGAGCAGATGTGAATCTGTCCTGGAGTCTGCCCTGAAGCCCCCACTGGAGCAGCGAGGCAAGTGTCCCCCAGCCAGCGTGTCATGCCATGTGTTTAGGGTCCACGAGGCAGCGACCTGGGCATGTGCAGGAGGGGCAGCCCTCGGGGTGCCTCAGTGTCCCCTCCCTGTCTTCCAGCTACCTCTATCCAGATGGGAGGACCCAAAACCCAGACCTCTCTGAGCTCTGCCAGAAAGAAACCCACCAGCAAATCTTCGTCCCTGAGGTGAGGCCCAGCCGGTGCCCCCTGCCCTGCGTCCAGCCCCTCCACCATCTCATTGAGCCGTCGGGTTTCTGTGCTATCTTGCTGGCTGTGTTATTTTGGGCTGGTGGCTCCACCTCTCTGAGCCCCTGTGCCTCCTCTGTGGGGCTTCTCATGAGGCTGAAACAGGAAACAATGGTGATGCTGTGGTCGTCCCAACCCCACCCTGTCTCAGGTGGACCCACCAGATGCAGCCCAGCGTTCACAGGCGGGAGACATGACGGGTCCAGGGGTTCCCCCCCCCCGCCCTTTGGTTTATGTTTTGGGATGCCCTGTGGTGCTCAGGAGTGACCAGGACTAATTCAGGGCTGGTAGTGGAACCCGCCTTCCACATGCAAAACACCTGCTCCAACCCCTTGAGCCCTGACAAATAGGAACTGGTTTGATTTATGGGGAGGGGGGCACACCCAGTGCTTACAGGCTGTTCCTGGCCCTCTGCTCAGGAGTGACCCCTGGCAGTGCTCAGGGGACCATATGCAGTGCGAAGGACCAAACTGGGGTCTGCGGGATCAAAACGGGGTCTGCGGACATAAGTCAGGTGCCTGACCTCCTGTGCTACCTCTGCAGCCCCCGAAAATGTGATCTTAGAATCACCTCCTGGGCTCGGTATTGGGCATATGGGGCCGGAGCCATAGGACAGCTGGATGGGCACTTGACTTGCACACAGCCCAACCCAGGTTCGGTCCCTGGCATCCCCCTAGTGGTCCCCTGAGCCTGCCAGGAGTGATCCCTGAGCTCGGAGCCAGGAGTCAGCCCTGAGTACTGTCAGATGGTTGGGCCCAGGTTCCCCCTACTGCACGCCTGAAGGCTCCGCAGGTTGCTTTTTTTTTTTTCCTTTTGGGTCACACGCAGCAATGCACAGGGGTTACTCCTGGTAGTGCTCGGGGGACCATATGGGATGCTGGGAATCGAACCCGGGTCGGCCACGTGCAAGGCAAACGCCCTACCCGCTGTGCTGTCGCTCCAGCGCCCGCAGGTTGCTTTGACCTGGGGGCCTGTGCGTGTTTCCCTCCAGTTGGCAACTCTGAGAGGGGTGAGCCCCAAAAAACGAGTCTCACCTCCGGGGGAACCATCGAGAGGCAGTGGGCAGGGCTGGGGGTGGGCGCAGCAGCTGGCATCACTCTCCCTAACTAACCCTGGCGCCACGGGCCCCCAGGAGCAACTGCGGCTCTACTGGGACATGGACTCCACCTTCGAGCTGTGCAAAATCTGTGCCGAGAACAACAAGGACGTGAAGATCAAGCCCTGCGGCCACCTGCTCTGCAGCCACTGCCTGGCCACCTGGCAGGTGAGGCTGAGGTCCCACTCCACGCCGGGGCCATCTCTGTCACCCGGGGAAACCGAGGCCCGAGCCTGGCAGAAGCGTGTTGAGCACCCCTGCCCCCGAGCCTCCAGGTGCCTGGTACTGCTGCCACGTGAGTGGTGTCCGCGCTGACCCCCATGGGGTGACGTCGGGTCGGGGGCCGGGGAGCCCTCTGCCAGGCCCTGTGCCCAGTTTTCGTCCCAATGCCAGTGTTTCCCAGGGGCCTCTGATTGTCAGCCTCATTATCATGGCCATCATCTGGAATAAACACGGCTCCAGAGTGGGACACAGCCAGCCGCCAGCCCAGCGGCAGATAAGGAGCCCGTCGCCCCGCCTGGAGTCCCCCCGCCATGGCCTGGGCTGACCTGGATAGTTCTGGAGTGACCCTGCACTGCCCTCCCCACACCCTGAGCCCACTCTTTTGTTTTGTGTCCGGGCCACACCTGGCGGTGCTTGGGGCTGACTCCTGGCTCTGCACTCAGGGATCACTCCTGGCGGTGCTCAGGGATGCCAGGGATGGAACTTGGGCGAGGCAAGCGCCTGGCCTGCTGTCCTGTCCCTCTGGCTCCTGATGCTTACTTCTATACAGCCCACTCACCCCTAAGTCCCCCTTGGGGCCCCTACGGAAGGCAGAGCCCCCCACCCCCGCCATCTCTGGGTCATCCCGGTCCAAACCAGAAATGTGGGGCCGGAGCGATAGTACAGCGGGGAAGTCACTTTCCTTGCACTCTGCAGATCCAGGTTCAATCCTCAGCACCTCACATGGTTCCCCAAGCATCACCAGGAGTGATTCCTGCGCACAGAGGCAGGAATAAGCCCTGAGCACTGCCAAATATGGCCCCAAAACAACAAAAAAGGATGAGGAACGGGACTGGAGCGATAGCACAGCGGGTAGGGGGTTTGCCTTGCACATGGTCAACCCGGGTTCAATTCCCAGCATCCCATATGGTCCCCCGAGCACCGCCAGGAGTAATTCCTGAGTGCATGAGCCAGGAGTAACCCCCGTGCATTGCTGGGTGTGACCCCCCCCCCAAAAAAAAGATGAGGAATGTTTCGGTTTTGGTGGTCATGAATCAGATCCTTGTGTCATGAATGTGCAAACTCCCAGGGCTATGGACTTGGCCCCCCAATATGGGGAGAATTCGGGAGGGGCTTCCAGCATGACCGGGGTCAGCCCAGAGCACTCACTGCCCAAGCCCCGCACCTGGTCCTGCCTTGCCCGGCTCCTGCCCTCTGGGGTGAAGCCCCTCGGGGGGTCCTTGCTCGGGAACCTCCAGCCTCCCTTCACCCCGTAGCTCTCCGACAGCAAGACCTGTCCCTTCTGTCGCTGCAAGATCAAGGGCCAAGAGTCCATCAGCATCAGCGCCGCAGGCCCGCCGGGTGAGGAGCCGGTGAGCACCAGGCACTGGGTGGGAACGGGGACTCCTGGTCTGAGGGAGGAGGCTGGGGCTGGACTCCTGGATCTAAGGGAAGGAACTGCATAGATTCCTGGATCTGAGGGAGGAGGATGGGGGTGAATTCCTTTTTTTTTTTTTTTTTTTACTAAATCACAGTGAGATACACAGTTACAAAATTGTTCATGATCGGGTTCCAGTCATATAACCAATCCCTTTACCAGTGCACATTTCCCCCCCACCAATGTTGGGGGTCGATTCCTGGTGTGAGGGAGGAGGCTGGTGAATGGATTCCTGAGTCTAAGGGAGGAGGCTGGATAGATTTCTGGGTCTTAGGGAGGAGACCGAAATATGGGAGTCTGAGGGAGGAGGCTGGAGTGTGGATTTCTGAGTCTGAGGGAGGAGGCTCAGGGAGGGGGGTCCTGAGAGAAGGGCACCGGTGCTAAGACTCTGGTCAAGGACCTGACCTTTCCTCCACTCCGGCTGACCTGTGGTCTGGGCAGCTGCAATGAGGGCCCCCTCCCCAGGGCCATGGCTCCAGGCAGGAGCACAGGGAGGTAAGGCAGGATGAGCACCCCCTCCTCCCACCCTCTGTCTCCTCAGACAGTGCCTTCAGCTCCTCCACTGCCCCCTCGGCCGAAGGAAAGCCCAAGTAAAGGTGCACTGGCGGTGGTGAGTTGGGCCAGTCTGGGGTGGGCGGCCTTGGTCTCTCCTGCTCTGGGTCCCTGGTTTCTCTGCGTGCCTGTCGCTCCTATGCTGCCCCAGGACTTTTGCTCCCACTCTTCCATCTGTCTGACTACTTTTACTCCCCTCTTCCCAGAAGTCCTCCCTGATCGTACGCCCCCCTACCCCAGGAACCTAGCGTCCCAGGCCTGGCCAGGCCTCCCCTGCCCTTGTCCCCCCCCCTTATCTTCACAGACCATTTCTTTTCCTTTTTAAGTAAAATAGTTGTACTTAAAAATATTTATTTAGAGGCATATCAGGTAGTGGCACAGAGAGAGAGAGAGAGAGTAAGAGAGAAAGAGGGTGAGAGAGAGTGAAAGAGAGCGAGTGGAGTGAGTGAATGAGAGAGAGAGAGGCAGTCTTTTGAAAGAGGTAAAAACTACAGGGCCAGACCCACAGGCCAGTGAGGAGGGCACTCGCCTTGCACATGGCTGTCTGGGGTTCCATCCCTGCACCCCATATGGTCCCTGAGTGCAGAGCCAGGAGTCAGCCCTGAGCCCTGCCAGGTGTGGCCCCAAACCAAACAAAAACACAAAAGGAAACCAAAAAACCACAATCCTCTTGAACCAAGTGGCTGAAACTGAAAAAGTTTTCTCTCACCTGAGGTCCCGAGGCCCTCCCCAAGGCCAGGGGTTGCCTGAGTCCACCCAGTCTGTGGAGTCAGGCCAGGCCTGACACTGGGCAGTGGCTGGAGAATTTGCCTGGAGGGAGCCTGGAAAATGTTCAGCAGGTGAAGAAAGCACTTGCCTTGCACGAGGCCAATCCGGCTTGACGCCCCCACCTGCCCCCTGCCCATATCGTCCCCAGAATACCTCCAGGAGTCATCCCTGAGCACAGAGCCAGAAGTAAGCCCTGAGTACCTCTGGGTATAGTCTGGAAATAAAAAAAAAAATGGGGGGGGCTGGAGCAACAGTATGGCAGGGAGTGCGTTTGCCTTGCACACGGCCAACCCGGGTTCAATCCCCAGCATCCCACATGGTCTCCTAGGTCCCGCCAGGAGTAATCCCTGAGCATTGCTGGGTGTGACCCAAAAAGCACAAAAAAAAAAAAAATTTTTTTTTAGCCTGGAAAGTTCCAAGGTAGATCCCAAAATCCAGCCAAGGGAGCAGCCGTGGGGAGGAGGTTCCTGCAGGAGCCCCCTCTGGGATCTCTTATTCTCCAAGCCAGATTCCACCCTGCGTTACCACCTCTCTCCTTCCGCATCCCCCAGGGAATTTCAGGGCCAGTGAGGCGCGAGCAGATGTAGTTTGGCCTCTCAGCCTGAGTCCACGGCAGATTCAATCAATACCCGGCGGTCTTCAAACAAACAGCGCAGGATGTCCGGGAACATTATTCGACCACAGCAAACAAGACAGCCAGCAGGAAGGGGGGGAGCTCGGGGGTGGGGGGGGAGTGTGACACCAGCCCGGGAAGCTAAAAACAGATCCGACCCACAGCCAACAGCGAATGGAAAGATTAGGAGCACTCAGCCGGCTCCCGGGGGACCGCGCTGGGCCAGGCGGGAGGGCAGGCTGGCCGGGGCCCGCGCCCCACCGAGGCGCCTTGGCCTGATTCAGATTCCAGTCAGCTTCCACTCGGCTCTCGCGAGCTCGCCGGGCCCGGGTGTCACTTCCCCGAAAGGTGACTGGCACCCCGAGAATAGTTGATGAGCGCATGGCCCGCCGAGTGCCTGAGAGGCTGTCATCTGGTCAGCCAGAGAGGGCAGGACCCTAAGGACCCCCACTGGACATGGGGACACTGAGGCCCTAGGCATCTCACCTGGTCCAAAAGTGGGGAGTGGGGGCTGGAAGCCAGACCCCCAGCTTCTGACTCTCACACCATCCTCCTCTCCCTCGGGGCCCTGAGGTGCCATCTGAAAGATGAGACAGGACAGGGATGGAGCAACAGGACAGCGGGTAGGGTGCTCGCTTTGCACATGGCCAACCTGGGTTCAATTCGCAGCATCCCATTGGGTGCTCGGAGTCTGCCAGGAGTGATCCCTGAGTGCAGAGCCAGGAGTGACCACTGAGCATCACTGGGTGTCGCCACCCCTCACCCCCCAAAACACAAATGAGACAGAACTGCAGGGAAGGGAACACTTGTCTGGCATGTAGCCAACCCTGGTTTGAATCCCTGGCACCACATGAGGTCCTCCCCTCCCCTCCCCAGCCCTAGTGTCTGCTCCCCAGCCTCCCCAGGCCTTCCAGGGTACTGGCACGCTCAGGCACAGCCAGTGCACTGGTATCTCATGGCAAGTGTCTTGCTCCATGAGGGCCCTTAACCCCGTGGAGACAGAGCTTTGTGTCCGTCTGCATCTAGGTTGTCTCTCCAGAATCCAGAACATAGTGCTGAATCTTTAGGTGCTCAGGAGACATGTGTGGGATGAATGGACAGCAGGTGCGAGGTGGGTGCATGTGGGCCAATGGATGAGTCCGAATGGATGGATGGATTCAGATGGATGGGTGCATCAATGGATGTGGATGGATGGGTGCATCAGTGGATGTGGATGGATGGGTAGTTCAATGGATGCAGATGGATGGATGGATGGATGGATGGATGGATCGGTAGATCCATAAATGTGAATGGATGGATGGATGGATGGATCAATGGATGCAGATGGATGGATGGATGGATGGATGGGTAGATCAATAAATGTGGGTGGATGGATGATCAATGGATGCAGATGGATGGATGGATGGATGGATGAATGGGTAGATCAATAAATGTGGATGGATGGATGGATCAATGGATGCAGATGGATGGATGGATGGATCAATGGATGCAGATGGATGGATGGATGGATGGATGGATGGATGGGTAGATCAATAAATGTGGGTGGATGGATGATCAATGGATGCAGATGGATGGATGGATGGATGGATGGGTAGATCAATAAATGTGGATGGATGGATCAATGGATGCAGATGGATGGATGGATGGATCAATGGATGCAGATGGATGGATGGATGGATGGATGGATGGGTAGATCAATAAATGTGGGTGGATGGATGATCAATGGATGCAGATGGATGGATGGATGGATGGATGGATGGGTAGATCAATAAATGTGGATGGATGGATCAATGGATGCAGATGGATGGATGGATGGATGGATGGGTAGATCAATGAATGTGGATGGATGGATGAGTTGGTGGATAGCAGACAAAAAAGATGGATGACTAGATAATGGATAAGAGATGAATAGATAAATAGATGGAAGAATAGACAGAGGAAAAGATCCATAGCTGAAGGGAAGGATGGAAGAACAGATGGATGAACATATGAATGGATGGGTGAATGAGTGGGTGGACAGATAGTGGGCAGGTGAACAAATAGATTACCAGGCAAAAGGAAGCAATGAACAGGGCCAGAGGGTACAGCAGGGAGGGCGTTTGCCTTGCACACAGAAGACCTGAGTTCGATCCCTGGCATTCCATCTGGTCCCCTGAGCACTGCCAGGAGTAATCCCTGCGTGCAGAGCCAGGAGTAACCCCTGAGCACTGCCAGGTGTGGCACAAAAAAAAAAGAGAAGGAATGTACATGGATGATATGTGGATGGATGGATTGACGGACAGACAGACAGATGAACAAATGACAGGTGGGCGGACGGTAGATGGACAGATGGATGAAACACTGGGTGGATGAATGGGCGGACAGACATATGGACAAATTGAAGACACTTCCTACTTGGACCAGAAGGCCTCAGGGAAAATCCTGGACTTGGGACAAGACCCTCTTGTGCACCCCCACCCCCGCACGTGCCCCCATTTGGCCCCGTGACATGAGCACAGCTGCAGCTCAGCTGTGACATTGCTTCATCTCCTCTTGTCCAGGCCCCTCCGGTCCTCCCCAAACTCCGCGCCCCCCTCGCCTTGCCAAGACGCAGAACTGCAGCCTCAGCCCTGCCGGATGTCACCTTCCGCTCCAGGGCCAGGGAGAGAGATGCGGAGTAAGTAGAGGGGACAGCTGGGGTTCAGGGCTCTGGGTCTGCAGGCAGATGAAGTGGGGACTGAAGGGACCGACGGGTCCCAGGAGATAAACTCCCCCCCTCCTTTTCCTGTTGCAGAAATTCCTAAAGGAAAAGTCCCCCCTCCAGCTGGTCCTGGGGGGCCAACGACCCTGCCCGGTCTGGATGCCAGGTGAGCCCCCACCCTGCCCAGGCTCCCCGCCTCAGCCTGGCCCTGCCCCCCAGGGGGCTGACACTGTCTAAACGCTGTTCTTTCCTTCTGCAGGGTACCCAGATATGCTGCTAAAGGGAACCCAGGACCTGGAAGGGGCTACAGAAATAAACTGCCCAGTCCAGCCTGTGTTCTGATGTGTGAGCATCCCAATGTGAGCCCCTCTGATGGACCCTGAGGAGCCCCCCTACCCCCCACCCCTTGCTCAGACCTAGGTGCCCTGCTCTCAGAATTAGGCATACAGGGGCTGGAGCAATAGCACAGCGAGGAGGGCATTGCCTTGCCTGCGCCAACGTGGGTTTGATCCCCAGCATCCCACAGGGTCTCCTAAGCACCACCAGGAGTAATTCCTGAGTGCAGAGCCAGGAGGAACCCCTGAACATCACCAGGTGTGGCTCCCCCAAAACTAATTAAAATAATTTAGGTATCCAGAGCCCCGAGTTCTCCAAGAATCAGGCATCAGCCCCTCCTTTCCCCATCATACCCCCCAAAAAAAACCCTAAAAAAAATCCTGTGTTCAGCCCCACATATCCACATTTTAAGTGCTGAGCCCCATGTTCCCTGGAGAGTTTCCACCCCGTCCTGCCATGGCTGTCCTGGCCCTGTCCCCCTCCTCCCTTCCTCTCTGGGCACCTCCTCCCCAAGAAAGGGCAACCTCCAGCCGGAACCAAGTGCAGGAAGTGGGGCTGGGTGGTGGCTGAGAAATGTGAGGAGCCCAGCACCCCCAAAAATGCAGTAAGGAAATATCTTTGCTGCACATTGTCATACTGGTTCCCAAGAAACCATAATCTCTTTCCACTTTTTTTTTTTTGGGTCACACCCAGCGATGCACAGGAGCTACTCCTGGCTCATGCACTCAGGAATTACTCGTGGCGGTGCTTGGGGGATCATATGGGATGCTGGGAATCGAACACGGGTTGCCCGCATGCAAGGCAAACACCCTACCCACTATACTACCACTCCAGCCCCTCCACTTAATTTCTCTGTCTCTCTGTCTCTGTCTCTGTCTCTGTCTCTGTCTCTCTCTCTCTCTCTCTCGTGTGTGTGTGTGTGTGTGTGTGTGTGTGTGTGTGTGTGTTTATTTGGGCCACACTGGGCTGTGCTCAGGGATCATTCCGGAAAGTCTCCGGGGACCTTCTGGGGTGCTGGCATGGAACTTGGTCAGCTTTGTGCAAAGTCAGTACCCTACCTACTGTACTATCGCTGTGGCTCCTATTTTGTTTGGTTTGTGGTTTGGAGTTGGAGCCACACCCTGAGTGTTTGGGGCTCCGGTGGAGCTCAGGGGTACCCTAGTGGTACCTTAAATCTCTCTCTGGTCCCCTCCTCACGTTTCCCGAGCCTCTGCCCTGTGCCCACCCCAAGGCTGACAAGCCCACCTCTAGCCCTCGACTCGAAGTCCAGAGGAAAGACAGGCCCAACCCTGGACAGTGGGGACCCAGAGTGAGTCAAACCGCAAGGGGGGCAGAGTCCAGAGCAGTCTGTACTAGCTGAGCCTAACAGGGTGGTCAGGGAGGACTTCTAGGAGGAGAGGGCATCCCAGCAGAGACTGAAAAGAAGAGAAAAAGGTTATTCCAAGGTAAATGGAACTCAGAAGGCTGCATGGCAGATTGAGTTCCCAGCAACCGAAGCCGTCTCTAGGGCAGAGAGAGAATTGACTGAGAGGATTCGGGATCATTCCCCGGCTCCCAGGAGTGAGCACAGAAGCAGGGTTGGACGGTGACCAAGAACGCGGGCAGCTGGCCTCCAACCCGAGCGCAGCCACAGCCGTCACGCCACGGAGCTGGTGTGATAAGCACAGGCCAGTGCATGGCCACTGGACACCGGTCCTCTCGCTGCGCTCCCCGCCCCAGAAACAGACTATAGTCTGCCCAGGAACTCAGTGCCCGAACGTGGTGCCAGCAAACAGCGACCAGCCTCCTCCTCTCTCTGCCAGGGAGGCTGCAGGGAAAGTTCTCCCTGAGGCGGTTGTGGCTCAGGATGCAAGTGATGTGTTTTGTTGCTGTTTGGGGGAGCCACACCCAACAGTGCTCTGGGCTTGTTCCTGGCTCTGCACTCAAGAGTCACTAATGGTGGGACTCAGGGAATCCTTATGGGATGCCAGGGATCACACCCAGGTTGGCCACATGCAAAGCAAACACGCTGGGGCCAGAGCAATAGCACAGCGGGTAGGGCGTTTGTCTTGCACGAGGTTGGCCCGAGTTTGATTCCCAGCATCCCATATGGTCCCCCGAGCACCACCAGGAGTAATTCCTGAGTGCAGAGCCAGGAGTAACTCCTGAGCATTGCCGGGTGTGAGCCAAAAAGAAAGAAAAAAAAAAAAAAGCAAACACCTTCCCTGCAGTCCTATCACTCTAGCCTTCAGGGTGCAAGTGAAAGGTGCCACCCATGGGTGCCTGGAGCCGGGGGCTGGATGGGCACCTGTTTGCAGCTTGAACCTCTCCCTGGGGCTGCCACCCTGGCCAGTGAGGCTTCTCTACAGCGTGGCTGTCTCAAGGCAGTGAGATGGGGATCGGAGCCATAGGACAGTGGATAGGTGCTTGCCTCAGACACATTCCTCAGACACATTCGATGCCCAGCACCCCAGAGTTTTCTGAGCTAGGATGATCCCTGAGTGCACAGGAGTAAGCCTGAAGCATCATCAAGTATAGCCCAAATTATGATTGTTATTATCATTATTTTTTCTTTGGGGTCACACCCAGCAAAGCTCAGGGGTTACTCCTGGCTTTGCACTCAGCGATTGAACCCAGCTTAGCCGCATGCAAACACCCTACTAATTGTACTATTGCTCTGGCCCCAGGTATCGCCCAAATTTATAAAATAAAAAGGAATATATCCTCTGCCCCTCTCGAAGATCCTGGCAAGCCTGCATGGCAAAGACTGCAAGCTACCCATGACGTATTCAATATGCCAAAAAACAGTTAACAAGTCTCACAATGGAGGTGTTACTGGTGCCCGCTCGAGCAAATCGATGACAGTGCTACAGTGCTTAAAAAAAATGGGGGCTGGACCAATAATACAGCGGGTAGGGCATTTGCCTTGCATGTGGCCGACCCGGGTTCGATTCCCGGCATCCCATATGGCCCCTAAGCACTGCCAGGAGTAATTGCTGAGTGCAGAGCCAGGAGTAACCCCTGTGCATCACCAAATGTGACCCAGAAAGGGAAAAAAAAATGGCAGGGACCAAGGCAGAAAGTCTTTTTCTTTTTTAGGTAACTGAACCACACCCAGCAGTTTGTCTCTGTGTTCGGGCCTCATTTGGAGGACCGGGACCCCGTTACTCAGGGCCTCGAATGCCAAGATCAGAATATGAGAGAGAAGCACGGCTGGGAAGTCCTGTCTAGCTGTCTTCAGTTCAGTTCGGGTGGAGGAAGATTTGGGTAACCCCAGCGGTGCTCCCCCCGAATCTGCTCAGGGTTCACTCCTGGCAGGACTCAAAGGACCCTAGGTAGTGCCAGGGATAAAACCAGGGTGAGCTACATGAAAGATGCTACCTCCGACCTCTGTCCCAGCCATCTTTATGTTGGTTTTTTGTTTGTTTGTTTGTTTTTTCTTTTTGGGTCACACTCAGCGATGCTCAGGGGTTACTTCTGGCTCTGCACTCAGGAATTACTCCTGGCGGTGCTTGGGGGACCATATGGGACACTGGGGATCAAACCCAGGTTGGTCACATGCAAGGCAAATGCCCAACCTGCTGTGCTATCGCTCCGACCCGCCCAGCCATCTTTAGAAAGTTGAATCTTTCCCAGCTGCCACAGTTGGACCAGATCTCACTGCATGGTGTGATGAGGCACTGATTCCAAGGGCTAAAATTGACCACAACTCAGCCACCTGAATTCCAACCGGAAGCAGGGAAGGGTCTGTCCTTGCTGATTTTGACAGCAGGGGCTTTCCAGGCAATGGGGTAGAGATGCTAACCCCTCACGCCAAGTCTGCTATAGTCCACTCCACTGGACACTCAGCCTCGGGAGCACCCCGTGTCTTAGACATACATTCTCTTCCCGGCAAGTTCTCCTCTTATTTCTTTTTCTTTTTAGGTCACACCTAGCAATGCTCAGTGCTTACTCCTGGCTCTGCACTCAGAAACCACTCCTGGCAGAGCTTGGGGGACCCTATGGGATGCCAGGGATCAAACTGGGTTGGCTGTGTGCAAGGAAAATGCCCTCTCTGCTCCACCCCCCCCCAACTTCTCTTAACCCTCCCTGAGTGACAAACCCAAGTGCATTCACAGACCCCCCCCGCAAGACCACAACTGATGAGTTCGAGTTTTTAGAGGCAAGTCTAGAACCATGAAGGACTATCTAGACCCCTCCAAATATGTCATGATCTCTCTTTTTGGGGGGGCCACACTCAATGGTGCTCAGATTTCACTCCTGGCAGAGCTCAGTGGGGACTAACCCCCCTAGAACAAGAGCAAGCAAAAAATGTCCAGGCTGGTGATCAGATCTGGGGAGCGCTGGAGGAAGGGAGGTGAAAGTCGGGGTGGCCAGAAGCTGTGACGACTTTAGCTTTCACTTGGGTTGAGGCGTGGAGATGACTGAGCCTCCACTTGGGCTGACTCACCTTTTTGTGGGTTCCCTCCGGCTGTTTTGTGGGGACAGACAGTGGCGGCATGAGGACAGATGAGGGACTGGACCCGTTTCTGCAAGTCTACGAGAACCAGGCTGGGCTTGGTATCATCCCTCCTGGATTTTCTCCATTTGTTCCGCCTGGGCCTCTGGAACCTCAGTGGGCTGGGGAGTCCTGAGAAAAACGGAGGGGTACCGCCAAGCAGAAGTGCCCGAGTTGGGGAGGTCTGGGGCTCGAAGTGTGTGAATGTCCCAGGCTCCGCATTCACTCGGATGTTCCTGCAGTTTCACAGTCTAAGGAGGAGAAGGCCTCTCAGGGCAGGGCTAAGTTAGGGGAACCCAGGGAGGGCAGGGAGGACTTCCTGGGGGAGATGGCAGGGCATAAAAAGTTCTTGCTCCAGTGTGGCTGTTGTTTCCTAGATCCTGCTGGACCACTGGACTGAGACGACAATCTGGCCAATTATGCCCTGGCTGACTTGTAATCTAAGACCTCCTCCTGGCTGAGGGGACTGGCCAGGTCTGCTTGTCACACCCCCAACCCCACCCGCTGCAGATCAGAGGCTGGAGTTGGGGGGTTGGGGGGGCTGATCTCACAGTATGTCCAACGACCTCCATGCTGACCCCTGTCAAGGGCTAGCTTCTCTCTGATAACCAGTGACCTGTCCCTCCCTCCCCACCCCCCCCCCTCACACACACACACACATACACACACACACACCACTTCCCCTGCTGCTCCCCCACGCCTCTAGCCCCCCTCTATCAGCCCCCCTCTATCAGCCCGGGCAAAGAGGGCCTGGGCAACGTGACCTATGACCCCCCCAGGCCCCGCCTCCTGCAGGTGCCCAGGCTTCCTCCCTTCCCCCACTCACCTGCTTCTGCCAGCCCGACTCCCCCTCCCCCCAGGTCTGGAGGGAGTGAAGGGGAGAAGGAGGGAGGAAGGGGGTGCATTCCTGGGATTCCCTGGAAGGGGGGAAGAGAGGGAGGGCCCCGAGAGGAGCGCCACGGGGAGAGCACCCCCAGCGCGCGCACGGAGGCCCGGGCTGACCCGGGGGCACAGCCTATTAGATAGGATGGAAGCAGGTTCCGGGTGGCTGCGCAGGGAAACTGTTCTAGGCCACTGGGCTGGCTGGGAATGCCCGGCCCCGGAGGACTGGTCAGAACAGCTGGTCTTCTCGGTGGTCTAGTGGAGGCTGTCGTGGGAGGGGTCCCCAGCAACACCGGGAGAGGGAAGGATCTGGGGGCGTGGACAAAGCCAACCCCCCCGCACCGCCCACCAACAAATTCGGGGGAGGAGGCGGAGTAGGGTCCCCCTCCCACCCCAGTACGGGCCAGAGGTTGGGTCCTGTCCAGTTCGATCCCAGGACACTGGCCAAACTGGTCTGGCGGGCCCGGCCGCGGGGCGCCGGGAGCACCGGTCAGCAGACCCGCCGCGCGCGCGCGCGCGCGCGCACAGCCAGGGGCGCTGGGGGGCTGCGGAAGCCCGGCTGGCTCGGGACCGCTGGGAGGTCCGCTCGGGGCAGTGGGAGGTCCTGGCCCGGCGCCCGGTTTCGGGGGAACAAGGGGGGCCGGGAAGGCGGGGCGGGGCGGGGCCGCCGGGGGCGGGGCTCCTCCTCCTGTCGGGCCCGCGGCTGCCCGGCCCCGGCTCAGTCGCCGCCGCGCCGCGATCATGGAGCCCCCCGACTCCCACCCCGGGGCGCGCAGGGTCCCGCGGCTGCTGGCGCTGGCGCTCCTGCTGGGGGCGCACCCAGGTAGGGCCCGGGCGGGACATAGGCCGCCTCCCCGGGTGCACGGGGCGGCGGGGGCGTGGGGGGTGGCGGCCCCGGGGGACCCCGGGAAGGGAAAAGCCAAAACCGGGGAGCCTGGGAAAGAGGAGTGGGGAATGCCGGCGGAGTGGGCGGGTCCCCCATCCAATGAGAAACACCCCCCATGCACCGCGGGGAATGGAGACCATCTGAGATGTCAGCCCCTCCCCCGGGGGGGCCGCTCCCCCCCCCCCCGGTCTCGGACCCCCTCCCCAGCCCCCTGCTCCTGCAGACCCCGCGACCGAAGTGCCCTCTGAACCCCGACCAAGGCTCTCAAATTTGTCAAGGGTTATGGACTCTAGGACCGGAAAGCAGTGGGGTGCCCCCATTTGAGGGGGGTCCCCCCAAGCTAGATTCAGATCCAAAGAGCCCGCCGCCCCCAGAGAACCAGCCTGGTACTGGCCCTTGCTGTGTAGAACAAGGGTTTCCTGGGTTTAACGGCCCCCCCTAAATCCGCACACCTGCTTGGCGGAGGCTGGGGAGGGACTGACGAGGCAGGGGCTGGGGAAGCTGGAGGGGAGATTTCCCCCGGTCCTCTGTCTGTCCGTCTGCCCAGGGTGGTGCAGAACCAGGTCGGGGCCCTTCCTCCCTGTGCCAGGCCTCCTAATCTGTGCCCCCTGGACCAGCCAGGCCAAGAGTAGGTCCCTGGGGGCAGGGCAGGGCCGGGCACGCTGGGCGGGGAAGGGAAGAGAAGGGAGGGGAAAGTTCTGAAGCGCCTGGTGCCAGGCTGGAGGGGAGAGGTGGTTCCCCTGGAGAACGGCTCTGCCTGCCAGCATCCTGGGGCGCAGGAGCAGCACCCCTAGATCCCTTCTCCCTTGGGACCCTATGCCGGGGAGGGGGGGCCAAGACCCTCTCCTGATCTGGGGTGAATTACCCGCCCCCTTTACCTGCTCTAGGTGAGGGACCGGAGCAATATAATAGCAGCTTGTTAGGCGCTTGTCTGGCACGTGGCTGACCCGGGTTCGGTCCGCAGCACCCCTTATGGTCCCCCTAACACCACCAGGAGTGATTCCTAAGTGCAGAGTCAGGAGTAACCTGGGCGCGGTGACCCCCAAATTTTTAAAAATTAAAATAGTGAAATAAATAGTTTATGCTCTAGGTTGGAGAGGCAGAGGGAGAGGCCTGGCACGGGAATCAAGGGGTATAAGGCACATGCCTCACTAGTGTGAGACTCCAGGCTGCATCCAGGCTCTGCCCGGAGCCCCTTCGCAGTCTCACTGGCCCGAGTATCGCTGGCTCAACCAACCTGAGTTCTGCTGGGAGTGGCCCCTGAGCCCCCAAGCACTGGGGAGGGCGGAAGGGAGGGGCCTTTATAAAAATTAATAAATAAGAGCGAGGGGACGGCAGAGGGGCCAGGGGGGCGGGCAGGGGGCTCTGGCGCCAGGCCGGGCAGGTCTGAGCCAGCCTGTCCCTCCCACATTCCTGCAACCTGCCCAGCCCTGTCCCCCCTCACCACCCCCACACACCCATCCTGCCGCAGCTCCAGGCCCAGCCGCAGCCCACACCCCATGAGGGAGCGCCCCAGGGGCTGAGGAAGATGGAGCAGGGGCGGAGGGAGGCTCAGGGAGAGGCCCAGGCGCACCCAGGCCTGGCTCTCAGAGGGACAGCCAGCCCCTGCCCTGCCCCCAGGGGACATTGGGGCAATGCAAACGTCATTTTACCCCAATGACTAGGGGCCCAAGCAGAGTCTTAGTTGTACCACTGACCACTGACGGGACAGAGGAAGAGGAGCTGGGTGTGAGAGAGGAGGCTAGGGACAGACTCCTGGATCTGAGGGAGGAGGCTGGGGATGGATTCCTGGGTCTGAGGGAGGAGGCTGGGGATGCACACCTGGGTCTGAGGGTGGAGTCTGGGGATGGATTCCTGGGTCGGATGGAGGATGCAGGGGATGGACTCCTGGGTCTGTTTTTGTTTGGTTGGTTTTGGGACGAACCCACATTGCTCAGGGCTGACTCCTGGTGGCTCTGAACTCAGGGATCACTCCTGGGGGTCGGGGACCCAATGATATACTGAGGATGGAAAGTGCCCTCCCCACTGTGCTATGGCTCCAGCCCTTAGACTCCTGGTCTGAGGAAGACTAGGGGGGGGGGGGCGGGGGGGGGCATTCTGTGCAGAAGCAGCTTACCGGGTTGCTGCCCCACAGGTGCCCAGGCTAAGGTGCACGTGTCTGTGCCCCCCCTGGTGGAGGTGATGAGGGGGGACTCTGTCACTCTGAACTGCAAGCCTCAGGGGACCCCAGACAACTTCGTGCTGGAATGGTTCATGGTGAGTGTCCTGACTGGTGTGTGCGGAAGGGGGAAGGGGGGTGAATTCGAAAGTCAGGACAGCCCCCTGCGGCCACACCCCTCACTCCCTCCACAGAGCTCTGCCAAGCTGCTGCCGGGTTGTTCCCCTCGGGAAACTGATGCCCAGCAAAGACCAGGGTCTGGGGAAACTGACGCCCAGCAAGGACGAGGGTCCCTCTGGGGCCTAGGGTTTGCTAAGTACAGCTGGGACTGGACCCAGGTTCCCCTGGGAGGGTTTGCTAGCCGGGACTGGGACTGGGGGTGGGTGGGTGGGGAAATGAGACAGCAAGGAAGCCGTTCCCAGGGAAGACGTAGAACAGAAGCCCAAGAGCTAGAGGTTGGGGAGAAGAGTGTGGGGTGCACCCCCCACCCCACTGAGGCATGCCCCACCCCACCCGCCAGGCCGATCGTTCCGGGGTCCGCCACCACCTGGCCTCTGCTGAGCTGAAGGGGTCGAAGATGCACAATCAGGTGCATGACTCGCGGGGCCGCGTCCCCCCATACCAACTGGACGCGCGGGGGCGCCTGGTGCTGGCGGAGGCGCAGGTGGCCGACGAGCGCGACTATGTGTGTGTGGTGCGTGCGGGCACCGCGAGCACAGCGAGCACAGCGGAGGCCACGGCGCGGCTGCACGTGTTTGGTGAATGTCCGGGACGCCTCGGGGGTGGGAGAGCAGAGAAGGGACCCCCCCTACACACACATAAGGGCCCCCCCTACAGTGCCATCTCCCCCGCAGCCAAACCAGAGGCCACGCAGGTCACCCCCAATACGGGGACGCTGTCGGTGACGGAGGACATTCCCCAGGAGGTACTGGGCTTGACAGCGGGGGTGGCATGGGAGGAAGGAGCCGCTGCCCGCGGGGGGCGTCGTCTTGGGAGGCGTGTCGTGACACTCTCCGAGCCTGGTATCTGCTGCAGATCGCCACCTGCAAGAGCCTCAACGGGAACCCAGCGCCCCAGATCACGTGGTACCGCAACGGGCAGCTGCTGGAGGTACCCATGGAGGTAAAGGCAGGTGAGTGGGGGGCGCCCCCGGCCGGCGGGGCGCGGGGGTGCGGTCGGACCCGGGACACCCCCCCCGACTGAGCGCCCACTCCCCCCACCCCAGACGGCTACATGACCAGCCGCACAGTCCGCGAGGCGTCGGGGCTGCTGTCACTCACCAGCGTCCTCTATCTGCGACTGCGCAAGGAGGACCGCGAGTCCAGCTTCCACTGCGCCGCGCACTTCCGCCTGCCCACGGGCCAGCAGGGCCGACTGGACAGCCCCCCCTTCCGCCTCACCCTGCACTGTGAGCCTGCCCCCCCCCCGCCCCCAAGGTGTCGCATGATTCGCTGTGCTCCATCCTCTCACCCCAGATCCCAGCTCCTCGCGCCCCCAGCCTCGCCCTGACTGACTGGGCGGGCACCTTGAGCACCTGAAGGGTGAACCCGAAACACTGACCTTTAGGGGGGCTGCAGCGCTAATACGGCAGCAGCAACGGGTAAGGCTCTTGCCCGAAAGATGTGACCCCTGGAACCCATATGGCCCGCCCCACCAGGAGTGATCCCTGAGTGCAGAGCCAGGAATAACCAGAAAAAAGAAATGTTGATCTCTAACCTTTGGCCCATCATAGGCCCACCCATGGGGAGCTGGTGACCTCTTTCCCTTCAGCCAGCCCTGGCCTTGACCCTTGACCTGCCTTGACCTTTACCCTTGCCCGCAGACCCCACGGAGCACGTGCAATTCTGGGTGGGCAGCCCAGCCACCACGGAGGGCTGGGTGCGTGAAGGGGACTCCGTGCACCTCTTCTGCCGGGGCGACGGCAGCCCCAGCCCCGAATACACCTTCTTCCGGCTTCAGGTGACTTCCCCTATGCTGCCTAGACACCCCAAACTTTTAATTTGCCAGCCTGTGCCCCATCAGGTGTGGGACCTGGCGGCCCAGATCCACCACCGGCGAGCTCCTAACACGGGGCGCCTCTGGTTAAACGGGGTCTCCGACCCCTCCTCGGGGAGGGGGACTTTGGTGGAGCCCTGGTACCTCCTGAGCTGAACCCTCCCCCTCCGTGTGCCCAGGGTGAACAGGAGGTCACTCTGAAGGACAACGTGGAGGGGAACCTCACGCTGAAGGGGGTGCAGCGGGGCCAGAGTGGGACCTACGGCTGCCGGGTGGAGGACTATGACGCCCCCGAGGACGCGGAGCTCTCAAGGACCCTGGAGCTGCGTGTGGCTTGTGAGAGCCGGGGAGCCCTGTGTGCCGCACCCACCCCTGTCTCTGGCCCAGCCTGGTCTAGCGCATCCTTCCACCCTCCTGCCGCCCACACTGCTGCTCAGAAGCTCTTTCCAAAGCAGAGCCCCCTGGCTACAGCCCACTGCGGGAGCCCTTGGGAGAGCCTGGAGGCCTGTCTCTGCCTTGGGCTAAGCTCCTCCCTGCATTTCTCTCCCAGCTCCGCACCCAGTTCCTGCTGCAGATTGCAGATCCCCTCTACTCAACCCTCCTTTTCCCTTCCCACCCTTCCCCTTCTCTCTCCACTCCTTCCCTCCCCCCTCCCCCTCCTCTCTTTCCCTTTCTGTCTCTTCCCCCCTCCCATATCCCCCCTTTTCCCTATCCTCTCTCTTCCCCTCCCCCCTACCTCTTCCCTCCTTTCCTCTTCCCGTCCCTTCCCCTTCTCCTTCCATCTCCTTTTCCTTTTGGGTCACACACCATACTGCCAATGCTCATTTACTACCTCTAGCCCACCTGGCAGTGCTGGGGAGCTATTCCCAGCCCAGGTTTTTGGAGTATCCTGCATGTAAAGCCTGTAGTTCCATCCATCGGAGCTGGTTCCCCAACCCTCCCCCATCCATTTTGAAGCCCTACCTGGGCTCCTACGAAACCAGCTCAGCACCCCTTCTGGTCCCCACTGCCCTCTCTGTGTGTGCGTGCTGCTGAGGGCACATCTGTGAACAGTCACCACCCCTGTCCCTCCCAGCCCAGTGGCCCCCAAGGGGACCCACCCAGTGAGATGGGACCACAGGTTAGCAGGACATGGGCAGGGGAGACACTTCGCAGAACTGGCACCTGCCTTCCCACTCGCTCTAGGCCCCGGGTTCAATTCCCAAGCTCCGCCCTGTGCGTTCCCCAAGCGCTGCCTGGCCTGAGCCACTCCACCCTGCACAGCTAGGCCAGGATGACCAGGAGCGGCCCCAGGGCCCTCCTGGACACTGTTTGGAAGCCTCCCCTCACCCCTGCCAAAGACTCAGAAGGCCAAAGGGGCAGTAAGTATAGAGAGGTGTTATAGGCTGTGTTCCATGAAAAGCAGATTCTGACTCAGAAATTGGAGGCAGGAAGTTTATGGAACATGCCTTGGGGACCCACAGTTTGGGGGTCTGGGAGGGGCAAGGGGCAGGATGGGACAGAGGGAAGCGTTGGCTGCAATATACACAAGGGCTCAGGTGGCCCCTGGGAAGCTGGACTGAGTGCAGTGGACGGGGAACCTTTACATTCTGTGTCCACCATTCCAAGCCGGCTGCTGGGCAGAGGGGCCTGGCCATGAAAGCAGGTCCCAGTGTGGCTGGCAGCTGAGACCCTGACAGCTGTCGCTCAGCCAGGTGTCTGAGAGGGAGCACAGTTGGACCAGCAGGCACCACTGACAAGGGCACCTTTGAGTAAGAAACCCCAGGCTGGGAACAGAAGTGTGCAGTGCCCAAAAGGCATTCCAGGGGCCCAAACAGCAGGTGCAAAGACCCTGGGGCTGCCGGAGCAGGGACGTGGCTGGCAAGGTTGAGCCCAGGCAGGCTCAATTTGGAAACTTCTATGGGATTTGAGGCAGAGGAGAGAGTAATGAGCCTGCAAGGGAGTCTGACTAGGTTTTTATTTGGGGATGGGTAGATCCAGGTTCTGGGGACTGAACCTGAGCCCTCCATATGCAAAGCTCCACCTGAGCTCTCCCTGGAGCTCACTGGGATGGACTGTCCAGGTGGACTCCGCACAGCAGAGAAACCAGTGAGGTCTGATCCAGAGGTGATAGGAGAAGGATGTGGCCACAGCCATAGCACAGGGGGAGAGGGGGCATTTGCAGCCTGACCCCGGTTTAACCCCCGGCATCCCATATGGTCTCCCAAACACCACCAAGAGTGATTCCTGAGCACAGAACCAGGAGTGACTCCTGAGCATGGCTGGGTGTGGCCCCAAAACTTAAAAAAAGGGCTGGAGAGATAGCACAGCGGGTAGGGCGTTTGCCTTGCATGCGGCCGACCCGGGTTCGATTCCCAGCATCCCATATGGTCCCCTGAGCACCGCCAGGAGTGACTCCTGAGTGCAGAGCCAGGAGTAACCCCTGCGCATTGCCGGGTGTGACCCAAAATGCAAAAAAAAACCTAAAAAAAAATTTTAAGGAGGAGGAGAATGTGGGGATGGAGGTGGGGGATGGTGGTGAGAGGCAGTGCAGAGAGGGCAGAGAAAAGCAGGTCCTAGAGAGGAGGCCGGGTTAGGTGGGAGCAGAGGGGATGAAGACACCCCAGGAACTAAGGTTGCACATTAACCTGCACCCCGCAAGTCAGCTCTGGGGGTGTGTCTAGAAGGGTTACATTCCACAGGAGACTGAAACCTGGAGTTTGTCCTGGAAAGGGGAAAGCGAGGGGCACCCCTAGCTCACTCTGGCCCTTCGCACCTGCACCCCGAGTGTCCTGGACAGGCCTGAACCCCCGGGAGTGAGGGGCACAGAGGGTGACCTTCTGTACCCTCCTCCAGACCTGGACCCCCTGGAGCTCAGCACTGGGGAGGAGCTGACCGTGCCCCTGGGGGGCAGCACCACTGCCAACTGTTCCGTGGGAGGCCTGCCTACCCCCACCCTGCGCTGGACCAAGGTGAGGGGGGGTTCTCCCATTTGGCCCCAGGGCACCTCTGTCTGTCCACCCTCCCTGCCTCACCCTCTTGCTGCCTCAGGATTCGGTGCCCCTGGAGGACGGGCCCACGCTGTCCCTCAGCGCGGTCACCTTCGATGCCGCGGGCACCTACACGTGCGAGGCCTCCATGCCCACAGTCCCCCTGCTGAGCCGCACCCAGAGCTTCAAGCTGCTGGTTCAAGGTTTGGGGGACGCGGGGCAACTGGGGTGGAGACCAAGGGAATGGGGGGGCAGGAAAATTTGGGGGCGTTCAGGCCTCTGGCTTTCTTCTACTTCCTTTCGGCTCCTTTGTGGGAGGGAGGAGGTTCCCAAGGGCTCCAGCCCCAAACTCCGGGTCTTATGCATGCAAGAGATGCACATACCCCAGGCATCTCTCTCCTTTCTCTCCCCTTGTTTCACTCCCTGACCTCCCCCAGGGACCCCTGAGCTAAGGCCGGAGGAGACTCAGCCCCAAGCTGAGGGTAGCTGGAGGGAAGGGGATGAAGTTATGCTGACCTGCTTGGCCCGCGGCCACCCTGAACCCAAACTCACCTGGAACCAGCCGGGAGGCAGTGTAAGCACCCCACCCCATCCTGAACCCTCCCCCTTCACCCCCTCACCCCTGACTCTTTGCAAATCGCCACGGCCCCGGCCTCCAGCCCAACACCTGGTCCCACGGTCCTTCTCCTGGACTGGACAGCTGCGCCACCACCCTCACCCCCCGCATCCCCGCCGCCAGCCCGCAGAGTCGACCCCCGGCGCCCAGGGCTGGGTGAGCAGTTCGCTGAGGCTGAAAGTGACCAGCGCCCTGAGCCGCGAGGGCGTGTCCTGCGAGGCGGCCAACCCCTACGGGAGCGTGCAGCACGTTTTCCACTTCGGCCACGGTGAGGGGTTAAGGGTTAGGGGAGCACGGCGGGCGGGGGGCAGGGGGGAGGTGGCGGAGCGGCGGGCTCACCCCTCCACCTCTGTCCCGCCCTGCAGTGGCCCCCCAGGCCGCCCAGGCTGGAGTGGCCGTCCTGGCCGTGGCCGTCAGCGTGGGCCTCCTGCTCCTCGTGGTGGCCGCCTTCTACTGCATGCGACGCAAGGGGCGCCCCGGTTGCTGCCGGCGGGCTGAGAAAGGGGCTCCGTGAGTGCCCGATCCACCCCCGCCTCCCACCGGGCCCCACCCCCCATCCCCGCACATTTCCTTCCAACGGCCCCTTAAATATCCACCCCCACCCCCATCCCTAAGGTTCCGCGATCCATAGCTCATCCAAACCAGAACCAGCCCACCCAAACCAGAACCATCCTGAACCCAGCTTCTCTTCTCGGTGGCCCCCTCCATCGCCTCCCCCAAACTCATCTCCGCTTTCCGCACTACCCCGCCCCCAGCTCACAGTCTCCCTTCCCATCCTGAACTAGCCCACCTCCGCCCGACAGAACCACGCTCCAGTACTAGCCCCGCCCACCACCCTAGCCCCGCCCTCCCACCTGCGTGCCTCCCTCCAATCACGCCCCGCCCCCCAAACCTAAGCCCCGCCCTCTCAGCCACACGCCACGCCCACACCCCCTCTAGCCCCTCTGCCCAGCCGAACTCAATTTCAATCCCGTCCCCATTCCCCGTCCCCTCCAAACCTAGCTCGTTTCTGCTCCTGACTCCGTCCTCACCCCCGTGAGACCCCCAAAACACCCAGTCAACTCTCCACTCCCACCCAAAGCCAGCCCCATATCATTTCCCCGACGCTGACTAGCGTCTGCTGCCACCCAAGCCCCGCACCCTCTTAAACCTCAGGCCCCCTCCCCGTGCACCCCCTATCTCACCCGCCCCCCGCCCCTGTTCCTCGCCCAGCCTGGCTCACTCCCCGCGATGCCGCCTTCTCCCGGCAGGCCTCCGGGAGACCCGGAGCTGAGCCAGAACGGGGCGGAGCCGCCGGAGCAGACGGGCCTCCTCAAGGGGGGGCCCTCGGGGGCCACCCAGCGCGGCAGCGGGGCCTTCAGAGAAGCGGTGGGTGCGGACACCCCGGGGTGGGGGCGGGGTGAGGGCGGGACAGCCCCCTCCCCCCCAGCGCTGGCTGACCCCTCCCCCTTCTCCCCAGTGAGGAGCCCCTGAAGCCCCCGGAGTCGTCCCGGGACCGCCGAGCGGGCAGCTAGGGGCCAGCGCCGCCCCCGCCTTCCCGGCCCGCCCCGGCCCCGGCCCCGGCCCTCCCTTCCTTCCTCGGGCCCCCGGCCGGCCGCGCGCGGGGGAGGGGCGCGGGGACCTTCCTGCGGGAGGGTGACGCTCCCAGGCCCCAGAATAGCTCCTGGAGCCGCGCCCGGGGCCGGCCCGGGCCCAGGCCGCGAGGGTCGCCGGCCGGCCGGCTCTATTTTTACCTTCTGCCGCCATCGCCGGGCCCCCACCTGCCGTCCCGCCGCCCCTAGTCTGACACTGGATCCCCCGCCACCCCCGCCCCGCCGTCCGTGGACACTGGATGCTGGACTCGAGGCCGTCGCCCGGACCCCGCCGCGGCCGCCGCCGCCTCCCGGGAGGCGCCCGGCTCGCCGGGGACCCCTCCCCCGCCCCCCGGCTACACCTGGGGCGTGCGGGGAGGGGCGCAGAGCAGAGTCCGCCGGCTCGCGCTGCTCGGGGAGTGGGGTGCTGTCCCCTTCGGCTTTAAGAGCTCCGCGTCTGTGTGGCCAGAGTTCCAGAGGGAATAAATCGGGAGAGGAATAAACTCAGGCCCTGCAGAATGAATGGAATTCAGGCCCAGCGGGCCGGGGGAGGGGGGGGGGCAGCGGGGAGCCGCCCTGGGGAAGGGGGCTTCGCTCCGAGGAGCCCGGACAAAGGGCCGGGGGAGGGGAGAGGATATGGCCCCCGCGGTGAAGCCGGCTGCACCCCCCCCAGGTAGAGGAAGAGCGTAGAAAGGGTGGAAGGACTTAGGGGGAGGGACAGGATGGGCGGGGCCAGCTCAGCGGAGCGGGAGTCCAAGTCAGAGATTTGGGGGGGAAGGAGGCAGGAAGAAACGGGCAGAATGGGCGGTGCTGGGGGGGGTGTTCCTGGCTCTGCTCTGGGCAGGGACCCCTGGCGGCTCCAGGGACCTCGTGCAGTGGCGGAGGGTGAACCCGGGTCATCCTTTTGCTATGCAGTGCCTTAAGCCCCTACCAGCTCTGCAGCTCAGGCATATTTGGGAAGAGAGACAGAGACCAGCAAAGAACTGGGGTTTCCCAGAGATCTTGGTGCCCAGCGGGGAGAGAAAACGGTGGGGGCAAAGAGAAATCGCATTAGCCTGCAGGGAGGAGAGACCCCCTCCTTCCCAAGTTCTCTGCTCTCACACCTTCTAGCCTCCTAATCCGCGCCCCCTCTCTGCCCGCAGTTTACCTGGCTACAAAGTGGAGAGAGTGAGATTCGGCATGGAGGGAGTGGTGCAGGGACACTTCAGCCATGAATACCCCACCGCTTAGGGCTGGAGCGATAGCACAGTGGGTAGGGCATTTGCCTTGCACGTGGCCAACCCAGGTTCTATTCCCAGCATCCCATATGGTCCCCTGAGCACCAACAGGAGTAATTCCTGAGTGCATGAGCCAGGAGTAACTCCTGTGTATCGCCGGGTGTGACTCAAAAAAAAAAAGAAAAAACAGAAAAAAAAGAAAACCCCATGGCTTATTCACCCCTTATAAATTTTGGGCCAGCGGCTGGATTGGGGAGGGCTCTTGCCTTGCACCCTGCCGACCCGGCTTCAATCCTCGGTTTCCCTTACGGTCCCCCCAACCCAGAGCACCACCAGGAGTACTTCCTGAGTCTAGAGCCAGGAGTTAAGCCTGAGCATCACTGGGTAGGCCCTTAACCAAAGCAGAGATTGTCCTTCCCTCTCTGTATGTCTCTAATACATTTGTTTAAAAAAAAATAATGGGGGGAGGTAGGGTTAGAGAGTCAGTACAGCTGGTAGAGTGCTTGCTTTGCATGCTGCTGACCCGAGTTTGGTCCCTGGCACCCTATGTGGTCTTCTGAGCACTGCCAGGAGTAATTCCTGAGTTGTAGAGCCAGGAGTAACCCTTGAGCATCACTGGGCGTGGCTCCAACCCCCCCCAAAACAAAATAAAAGTGAAGGGCTGAAGATAATACAGCGGGGAGAGCAGTTGCCTTGCACAGGGTGATCTGGGTTGGATCCCCGGCACCCCAGACAGCCCCCAAGCTTGCCAGGAGTGATTCCTGAGTACAGAGCCAGAAGCCCTGAGCACAGCCGGATGTGACCCGAAAATCAGAAATAATTAAAGGCAAGAGACCATAGAGATGGGTCCACGGACTAAAGCAGATACTTTGCATGCAGGGACCCTGTGTTTGATCCCCAACATTGCATGGTTCCCTGAACCCTGCCAGGAGCACTCCTCCGCCAAATACTGAGCTACTACTACAAGGGTCTCTCCACCCCAGCACTGCCAGGTGTCACCCCAAACAAATAAAAAAGCTAAAACAAAAGCAAGAAGCAAAGGGGGGAAAGATGGAGCAGTTGACTCAGGGTCAAACCAGCAAAGGTCGCAGCATCCCCGCTCCCCAACCACTGCACGTCTGGGAGACATCCAGGTCTGGGTTCCACATCCCCCATGGGACGGTTCCATGAGGAATAGGGAAGGGGGGTCATTTCCCAGAGAGGGGAAGGGCAGATGCCACTGGAGCTGGTGGATGGTGAGGTTGCCGCCTGGGATCGATGACTGGACGCATCCTAAGGAGGTGTGGCTATTTGGGACTTGCTGACTTGCTGTGCCATCACGTCATCCCTTCCACCCCCCATTCAGTTCACATAAAATCCATTCTCCCAATCAGTTATCTGTCTCCTTGCGTGACTTTCTTTTCTCTTTTTTTTTTTTTTTTTTTGCTTTTTGGGCCACACTCAGCAATGCACAGGGGTTACTCCTGGATCATGCACTCAGGAATTACTCCTGGTGGTGCTTGGGGGACCATATGGGATGCTGGGAATCAAACCCGGGTTGGCCACATGCAAGGCAAATGCCCTACCTGCTGTGTTATCGCTCCAGCCCCTTATGTGACTTTCTTGACTTCTCTAGGACAAAGGATATTCTTTACATAAATAAAAAAAGCTAAATGCCCCGGAAGGGCAGTTAGGATAGAGAAGGGACCAGTACGACAATAATAGTTAGAAATGACTCTGGACAAGACAAAACAAATACAAACAAACAAAAAGATATATGCAACAGAGGGCCAGAGAAATAGCGGAGGGTTAGTTAAGGTGCTTGCCTCGCACACAGCGAACCCTGTTTTGCTTTTGTCTTTGGGCCACACCCAGCAGTGCTCAGGGATCACATCTGATGGGCTCCTTGGGATGCTAGAGATTGAACCCATGTCTGCCAGGTGCAAGGCAAGTGCTTTGCCCACTGTGCACAGATAGATACAGTCCAAAAACCAAAGATAAGATAAAGGCGAGAGATTACTCATTGGACTACCTCTCTGGCCCTTCATAAGGTGAACCCTGGCATCACATGTGGTCTCCTGAGCACCACCAACTATCACCTCAAAACGCTACCTTTTCCTACCCCCCAGAAAACGCAAAGGACTCAGTATGTGGTTTTTAGTATAGCAGCATGTACTTTACATGTGGGAACCCCAGGTTGGTACAGCACGGTGCCCCAAGAAGAATACCACCAGTAGTCCCAGGCATTACCAGGCATGACAAAAAAAAATTTTTTTAAAGGAGAATAAGCAGGGCTGGAGCGATAGCACAGCAGGTAGGGCATTTGCATTGCACTGGCCGACCCAGGCTCGATTCCCAGCATCCCATATGGTCCCCCGAGCACCACCAGGAGTGATTCCTGAGTGCAGAGCCAGGAGTAACCCCTGAGCATTGCTGGGTGTGACCAAAAAAGCAAAAAAAAAAAAAAAATGAAGACGAAGAAGAATCAGCAAATATACATAGAGTTGGTTACAGGATGGTTGGGAAAATTGGATGAAAAGCACTTTATTCCGAAAGAAGCAAAGGGCCTGTATTCAGTGCATGATAATAAGGAAGAGGAGGAGGAAGTGAAGGAGGAGGAGGAGAAGGGGGTGATCAACCAAGAGAAGGAGAGGGGTAGAGAGAAAAGCAAGGGGCCCGAGGCCAGAGTCATAGTCCAGCCGGGAGGATGTCTTGCACATGGCTGACCTGGCTTCAGTCTCCATCCTCGGCATCCCATACGGTCCCCTGAGTCCACCAGGAGTAGTTCCTGACAGCAGAGACAGGAGTAACTCCTGAGCATTGCTGGTGTGTCCCCAAAACTGTCACTGTCGCTGTCCTCCTGTTGTTCATCGATTTGCTCGAGCGGACCCAGTAACATCTCCATTGGAGACTTTGTTGTTACTGTGTTTGGCATATCGAATACATCACGGGTGGCTTGCTAGGCTCTGCTGTGTGGATGAGATACTCTCGGTAGCTTGCCGGGCTCTCCAAGAGGGGGTCCCAAAAACCAAAACCCAAAATACAAAAGCAATGGCTCCTGGGCCCAGGTGGAGAGGTAACCAGATATTGTGAGGAGGGACCTGGGGACCTTGACAAGGAGTAAACAGACGGCTGGAGGGAGACAGGAGAGGGGACCCTGGGGATAAAGGGATTCCCACTCAGCACCTGGTCCCTATGTTAATGAAAGAAGGAGGGTCCTGGTCCTCTCCCTGGAGGGCATCATTTGCATAAGACCCCTCATCTGCCTGGCATCCCCTGCTATTTGCATACAGATGGCAGCCTAGCCCTCCCCCCTCTGACCCCTTCTATTTTTTTTTTTCTTTTGGGGTCGAACCGGCGAGGCAACGCACAGGGGTTGCTCCTGGCTCTGCACTCAGGAATCATTCTGAGACAGTGCCCAGGGGGACCATACATGATGCTGGGAATCAAACCCGGGTCAGCTGCATACAAGGCAAATGCCCTATCCGCTGTGCTATCACTCCAGCCCCGACCCCTCCTTTCTTGACCAAGAGTATGAGGGGTGGAACAGGGCAGTGGGGAGCCACTGATTTGGAATTGTGAGAGTACAGGGTAGGGGGTGGAGTGGTGGGGGTACTCAAGCACTTGCCTTGCAAGCAGCCAACCCCATTTGGTGGTTGGTTCAATCCAGGCACCCCGTCATGGTCCCCAGATGCCCCTAGAAGTGATCCCTGAGTGCAGGGTCAGGGGTAAGCCCTGAGCATTGCCAGGTGTGGTCCTAAAAGCAAAAATAATGCAAACTTCTGAACCCTGTTCACTTCCCTTTCCCTGCCCTTGGAATTTTACAGCATTTAGGGACTCACACCGATTTTACCAGGAAGGCTATGTTTGGTTGCAAAGGACTGAAAAAAAGAGGGAGGGAAATAAAACACCCAAAGTCAGAGCCAGAAGTTGCCCTATGACACATGCTCGTGAAATCAGTCAGAAGGAGAAAGACAAACACGAATGAGCTCACACACATGTGGGTTATAAGGAAACAAAGCGGGGGAACAGACGAAGTCCAAGGAAAACAAAGCCGTCCCCTCTGATAACAGCTGCAGCTATGGCCTAAAGGAGCAGTTGGGGGGCTTTTGAGGCCGCACCTGGCCATCGTGGCCT